TCACTTTACTGTCATTGTGACGTTCCAGCATCAGAAAGTTGTCTTTTGGCACTTTTTTAAATATTATTATTACTACTAATACCGTTACGATGCGTTATTTTTTACTCTCTCTCTCTCTCTCTCTCTTTCTTGCTCTCTCTATCTCTCTTCAATGATTTTTTCGCTCCATAACATTTTATCTACCGGCAGATAAACACTAAATAATGTAGAAGAAATGGAATGATGTCAATCATGCTTTGTGATTTATTTGGTCAGTCAAAGTTTGGCATTGTTAAGCCTTTCATTTTGGTTCCAATGTATATATATATATATGTATAAATATGCATATCGGGACAGTTTAGAGCACAAGGCGGAAGAGAATGATTTATGTATGAAGTATTTGTCTATATGCTTAGTACGAAAGTAGTAGTCTAGTTTTACCGACATAGCAGACCTATGATTATTTTCTCGTGAACAATGTGTGTGTATGTGTATGTGTGTAAAAATGAATGTAAATGAGTGCCTAATTACTTTGACAGATGTTTATGAAAACGTATATTGTGAAAAAACACTCACATTTATACATGATCACACAACTAATGATCCAAATGACATTGATTGATAGAAGTTTAAATGTGCATAAATAAGTTGCGTACACTGATACTGACATATGTATTTTATGTACATTTATTCATTCATATTGGTATGAATGTTGAGTAGTATGTTTAATCAATTTTATTTTAAAAATTTACATTCTACTTTCACTCCCGCAAAGCTAATTTCACCAGTGTGAGTGAGCTAAGCTAAATCACTGTACAGAAAATACATAGACTTTAGTACTCATAAAATAATCTCAAATTATTTTACACAGAAAAGTGAAGAACTTCTTTTTTTACAAGAACGAAAATTACAAATTTATCGTGATGTCATAATGACAAACTAATTGCTTAGTGTAAAAAAAACAAACATTAATTACAATGATTTGTTGTGAATTTTCCATGGGGATTCTTACTGGAAATGCAAAAACTATAAAACTCTCTGTTCGATGACGTGTATGGCTATGGGTTTATACTATTGATGATCTACAAACCTGAATGAAATTGTTCTCTGCGATTCCTTGAATTTCAATAGCTGTCAATGTATTCCTAGTATGTGAAAAAATCACCTTTGATTAATGATAAAACCTTCACAAAGTTACCGACATATATATATATATATATATATTACGTCAATAGGAGAAACTGGGCTTTTTTTTATTACCACGTGATAATGCAATATGTAGTGTACATATTTGTTTGTACCTTACTAATCTAATTTCAGTTTTCTATAAAAAAAAACAGCGTTTACAATATAGATTGTACGATGCTTGTGTTTATTTTAATCGCAGACATTGATTCAAATGGACATCAAGTATCATTAGTTTTATTGGAGAAAAAATTAATAGTGATAAACTTAAAATAATTCTTAAACAAACTGATTTTACCCATCCGAAAATGATTTTACTAAGATGGAATCTTTAATTGGATAGTTTCCTCTTTTAGAAGTTTGTAAAACTATGTAGATTATTTTAATCGTGGATTACTGACCTGACTTGATTGCTGTTCGGTCATAATACGATATTACTCAGCAGTTTACACCTTCACTCATATAAAAAATTGAATTCAATAATTAGCAATCCTATAGAGAGTTTGATATACTTAACCTATTGTGACACATCAAAATCATCTCAAGTCTCCATAAAGCTAATTTTTCTTAATGGCATTTACTCACGGTTTAAATAGTCAAGTTACATAATGCATTAAGTAGATGTTCTATTTCAAACAAGCTTTTTGTCAGTATCAATCAGTCCAATTGCCACATCTTGATCGTCTTTAAATCCTCTCAGCAAGATGGAACATTTTACCGCAGTGAATTCACTAGATACACATCATTACAGAAAGAAAGAAGCTGAAATTCTGAAATTTGATTTTTTTTTTAATAAACTATGATTGAGTCACATGAATAATACTTTGTCTACGATAAAAAAACAGCATTCATACCATTAGCATTTTCGGTTTCACATTAAAAAAAACTGCAATCAGATATATTTATACATTTATAATATTTTGCGGTAGGGTAATGATGAGTTGCACAAGTCACACTGTATGATATCGAATTGCATTGACCATCTGTCAATGTTGTTCTGTAGTGATATCTTGTCAGGTGTATTGGCAACTGCAAGTGATTTTTGTAGAAGATATTTCTTTTGACAATCAACTAATGTAAACTAATGGATTTAAGTTGCACAGTAGTAAGAATACGACAGTGCGAGTAGATGATGTTTTGATACAGTTAGTATTATTATAGTGAAAAAAATTGGTGAAATATTTGTTCACTTACAATAAATCAATATTCATAACTGAAAAAAACAAACTTTCTTTAAAGTAAGAACAGCAATTTAATTTAACAGCTTACAAAATAAAGTCTACATGTCAGACTTGTTAGTGAAATATGAAATATGAATTGGTATTTGTACAGTTAGGGATTTCAATATAGGTTTGGGTGTATTTTTAAAAGTTTGGTTTGATTTAACAATGTTTCTTATTCCATGCATTACAAAGTGATTGATTTTATAGAGCGACACAGCGAGTTTCCTTTTCAATATCAGTAAAATTAAGATACTGATGTCAATGTGTATTCGTCAATTTACACTACTAATTTTGAATCCAGATGTGAATAGTGAATAGATCTAACATATAGTAGTTGACTTTTTATTACAACTATTGTGTTTTAAACCAGTAAACTGCTGGTCTCAGTCAGAGCAACCGGCTAATATAATAAACTATCAAATCATAAATCTAGGCTTGGTTAACAAGTCACCAATAAAGTCAACTATAGTTAAGATAAAACATTGTGTCGTCTTAAAGACAATTTTTTCCCGATGCAATCATTTTGCATTACTATGTTGTAGACACTGAATTCCCTTTATTATTTTTTTCAACGATTTGGTTATTAATTCAACAATTTTACCGGTAAATTAATGATTTTTAATTCTTAAGCGAGTATTTTTTTTTTAATTATCCACTCGTGTATATTTACCAGTTAGATCATATATGCATCAAACAAAAGCAAATAAACTGGTTTATCAATCCATGATTAACGAGTTAATAATTATTGTCAGTTAGAGCTTTGAAGATTTGTGTTTTTTGCACACTTGAAATTATCAATCAATGATTGTTAGACCACCATTAGAAACCTGGAAGCACTGGACGGCCGTTTCGCCCTGGTGTGGGACTCATCAGCAGTGCGCATCCACGACTCCTGTACCACGCAGGATTCGAACCCGGGACCTTCGGTATTGTGCGCGAACGCCTAACCATTGAACCACTGGGCCGGCATGATTCATCAGTCCAGTCATTACACAGGTAACATAGAAAGACGATTTGAAAATCCTCCAGTAGTTTATCGATTAACATGACGAGGAAAGTATAATATTACGACAGGATAAGCGTCGAACAAAAAAAATCGCATATTCTCCTTTCGCTCCCTCTCTCTCCCTCTCTCTCTCTTTCTATAACTTTTATTCACACACTTCCACTTCTATGTCAGTTCATTTGACTGTGTGCATGCTCACCTTTATTGAGCACAGAACTTACTAGGTCAATCAATAACTCATTATATATATCTATCAATACATATTTGATATTGATATATTTACTCTAAAAAAGAAAATAAATAATCCGAATAATAAAAACTTTTCCATCCTTCACTTTTGATTACAAAAAAAGTAAGCTTACAAAAGAAAGAAATTAATTAAATGAAAATAAATAATATAACATAAAATAATGAAATAAATCCAATTGAAGATGAAAAGAAACGAATGTTAACAGTAAACAATCAACTGTTTCAATGTATATATATATATATATATATATATATATATATTCATCAAGTGATTTATATTTATCAAAACTTTGCTTCGATAAAATTTATTGCTTTGTATGAAAGATAAAATTTTGTTTGTATTACTGCTTATTAATTAGATTCAACTGCTCGAATATATATATACATTTATATACATATATATATATATATATCCTGTGACCTTCACTAGAACGATTTTAAAACAATGAAAAAGCGATGACATTCTGTCATATTATTTGTCACATGAATATCAAAAATTTAGAAAATAATTGAATTGAATTGAATGATGATCACAATGATAATAATATACAACAATGTACTTGGAATAACGAAACAAGTATTTTACTTAAAGGAAAAGAGTAAAAAAAAAAGATTGTGAAAGTGTATGGTGAATGATTGCTCTAATGTGCTCTAATGGCATTTAAGACATGAAATTATTCACTGAAATACATGGCAAATTCCATTTGTTTTTTTTTAACTGTTTCCATGATAAAAAGAAACAGCTAAGCGACTGAGTAAATGGCTTTAATACACAGTAGTCGTTAAAACAATCTTGCCAAAATTTGGAGAATTTTTTCTTAAAGTCATGAAACACTGAATATATATTTTTTGGTTTTGACTTTAGAACAGTATTCGGAATGTAGTAAAGTAATGTTCAATGGGGGAATCCGTTTCCATGCAAATTTCTTTTAGTGTTTAAACAATGATTCAGTAATGAATTTCTCGTTTGCTGAGATTTTTCAAATGCTAACTCAAATACACTCTACGGAATGACTTTAGTTTAAGTTCAAGAGTAATTCTTTTCGAAACTGTCAAATATTGGAAACCGTCGTTTCAAGAAATAAAAGGCGTATTAGTGTATCGACCATGATTGATACAGTCGAATATTTATTGTTAGTTTGAGTGTACAGTGTGGTGCATTTAAAAATGTCTAAAGTTCTATGTGTATGTTTAGATACAAATTTAGATGTGTATGTGCTAACTTGTTCCCTCACTCATTAATAACACAATAACACAATTTACTGAATTTTCTCTTTTTTCTTGTTTGGTCGGTGCTTTAGAAACTTCAAACTGTTAACTGTATCATTGAAATAAACTCTTGTCTTGACGATAAATCAAATTAGTCTGATATATATATATATATATGTATAATTTATACATCCATCATCTATCCAGTACTCTACAAAAAACAAGTTAACTTTTCATTTTTTTAAAATACGATTATGCCATGTGCGGGAATTTTGTCACCTATAACCATGGATACATCATCATCTTCAACAAGCCAAATTAACACTTGTAAATCAATTGATTTTTGTCTTCCTGAAATTAACTCACCTTCAACACATACCTTTGAAAACTCTGATTACATGGGATCAGGACATCGCGCAAATAGTAATAATAATAATAATACTGATAATAATAATAATAATATTAATAATAATAGTAATAATAATATCGAGATAAATAATCCTGATAAAACTCAGAATTTCTCTCCTGATTTACCGCATTTATCGTATACAATGGTTAGTACACCACAACCGCCTCCATTGGACTTGTCCAATATACCTCATTCTCCGAATAAACCACAGAATATAGATTTCATGGAGATATCAAGTGGGAAAATGCAAAACTCACCGAAAACTATTGATTCACATGAAATGAATACTTCTACCGCCGCTACTGTTGCTGTCACTACTACCATTAGTAGTATAGGAAATACAAATCATGATATATCGATTAATAGTAAATCAAATGTAAAATGTGAAATGAATTCATCTCCACATGGTTTAAATCTTGTTGTTCCCACTATGGAAAAATTAGTCAATGTTGACTGGATTGAAGCATTAAAACAATATACTGAGCCACAGATGTCAATAAAAATGAATACTAATACTCAAAATTTAGATGATGAAATAGATTTAACTAAACTATCTGAGAATAATAAAAATAATAATAATAATAATAATAAACTAAATAGTGAACAAATAAACTTCAATCCATACACACCATCACCAGATCTTACGGCACATTTTCAAGCAATGTTAACTAATTTAAGTGAATTTTTATTTAATTCTTCACAATTAACAAATTTTTCAAAGAATCCCACTATTGATAATTTAAATTATTCCTCACCATCTTCAGCTACATCTATTAGTGTACCATTGCCTGCTTGTTCTACTAGCCAAATAAATTCAGATAAGTTGAAACTTGATAGTCTAAATCAACAACCGATCAGTTTATCTAATTCTATATTTCCACAAAATTTTATTGAAAATCAAACAGGTCCCACTTTATTCAATGTAGCTGATCTTAGTTCAACGAATCCGTCATTAGCAATAACAGCTTCCTTATTAAGTTTACTAGTCGGGGGTCAAAAACCAACTTCATTTCTTGAACAGTCTTTACCACAATCTTCTACATACTCAAAATGTCCAATATCTTCACCGAAATCCGGTCAATCTTCGGATTTTTATCCTCAACAGTTTTTAGGAAATACATCTAAATTTCCGCCGCAACAACCATCATCATCATCATTATCATCGTCACAGGTTCCTCCATCAAAAATGTCTAAATCTCCCATTTCATTGCAACACACACCTCTTCAGAGTTCTTTTGGTCCACCTCCATCACTAGCACCTGCATCATGTGCACTAGCAGATTTGCCTAATTTCAGTGAATCGAAACCATCAGATCCACGTGATCTACTCTATCAACTTGGACAACAGCTAATGGCTATGGCAACATCTGGTTTAAATGGTTCAAGAACTACTACAGACTTATGGAATATAAATAATATGGATGGTAATTATAATTCATTGAATTCAACATCACTAAGTAATCGTTTAAATTCTGCATACATTCAACCACATATTAGTTCGAACACTAGTCACATTCCTGAACAAGTCAAATCACCATCGTCATCTTTAGTACCATCTGCGTCATCGTCATCATCATCATCATCATTTAATACAAGTGGACTGGACAAGAGTTTTCATCATGTTCAACCTCCACTTCAGCAACATCATCCTAACACGAATACAGGACCATTCAGTGGTATATCGATGCGTGGTAATCAAAAGTATAGTGCATATTATCAACATCAAAGGAAACAAGGTTTTCAAACAGGTGGAAATTATGAATATGTTAATAATACAGTTGGCAGACGTCAAAGAAATTCCCTTAGCCCTTTGTCAACGAATACACGTTATATAGGTCGTCGTTTAAGAAGTGGTTTAAACAATGCATTACTCTCTGGTACAAATTTAGAAATGAGAAATTCACAAAGATTTTCAGCCATAAGAAATCAAACAGCATTAACAGGAAATACTACTAATATTACTAATAGTAACAGTAATAACACTGGTAACACAACCAATAGTGGTGGTAATCTCTCAAATTTCCGAGGAAATACAACATGCAGAATGATGTCTAATCTAGGAAATATAACTGGTAGTCATGTTCTGAATCCTATGAAATCCCGTCTTCAAACCGAAAACTTAAATAACACTACTCATGGACATATTAGTAGTAACAATAACAGTACCAATAATTCATCTCAACAGACTACACGTCATCGAGAAACAGCATTCATTTGCAGTTGTGGTAAAGACTTTGAAAGTCTCTATATATTTACTTTACATATGAAAGATACTGGACATAAACCAAAATGTGATCAAACTGAAAAAGATATACCGAAATTAGTAAGAGGTCAAGATATGTGGATTAATAGTGAAACAGAACAAACACGTGAAATACTTCGTTGTATGCGTTGTCATCAGTCATTTCGTAGTCTTCCTGAGCTTACAATGCATATGATGAAAACGAATCATTATTCTGAAATAGTATATAACGATTCCGGTCGATGTGTCTTTGTTAATCCTGATGATAATCGACGAGGAGGTGGTAGTAGTACTGTAGGTTCTGGTCATTATTCAGGAAGTAATAATCTATCTCATACACTCGGAAAGTCAGGACTATCTGTTACAGGTACTTTTGGTGGTAGAAGATCAAACAGAAACATGAATACGAATTGGTTAAATAGTACGCAAACCAGTTATTCAAATGTGCGCTTATCATCGAATGAAGAATCGAATTCCACAATGAAGCAGAATATTCAACAACATACTCTTCCATGTGATAAATACGATAGTGATAATTCAGGCGAAATTTCAAAGCGATCTGGACACTCAGATGATGAACGTAATCCAAACCAACTGTCTACATCTAAAGAATATCATGAAGAAGTGAGAAATGACAATGACGAAATGCATGATAAACATCAAGCAGATATTAAAAATAATTTTAATTCATTAGCATCACCAACATCATCTCAACTCGGTGTCTCGTTATCACCATCTTCTACATTGTGTAGAAATGAAGAAGAAAACCAACAATCTACCAAAGCAGTTTTGGCATATGATGATGATACTTTAGATACGGTTACTAAGAAACAAGGCACAGAATTATTAGAAAGTGAAGATAACAATAATATATTGCAACAAATTGAATCACTTGTTGAAAAACGTCTTCCAGAGACATCAGTTAATAATAATAATAATAATAATAATAATAATAATAATAATAATAATAATAATTCATCAAGTAACAATGAATATTCCAATCAAAATTTCATTCAATCCACTTCATCTGAATCGATTAATAATGTTGAGGAAATCAACTCGCCAACAATGAAATTATCACCGAAATTGCATCGTAAACGTACCTACTCTGAAGCTGGTATCGATATGAATTCGGTTTCAGATATTCCAACTAATCATAATATTTCTACATCTGTTGACAGTGTCACTTATTCTCCAACTTCTAGTCATATTACTGTGTCAGGAAACGAATCGAATTCTAATGAGAAACTAGATGCTGAAATAACAGATATCAAACAAGCGATACCAGTCACTACAAATTCACCAAATACATCATCTAAAGTATCTAGTACAAGTGAAATGAATGTAAACTTCTCCGAGAGTCCTTTATCATCATTACAAAAATTAGTGGATACAACACATAAACCAATTAAATCTTCAAATGTATTAAATTCAAGCTTTAATTTAACAAGCAGCAATAATAATAATAATAACAATAATAATAATATAATACCAACTAATAATAATCCCAATAAATTTTCAAGATCTCATGGCCTCCTAACAAACACAACTACAATACACTCACAATATTCACCGAATAAATCCGGCATTAATACATGCCCTAATTCACCATATTCCGCTCATTCTACAATTTCTTCTAGTAAACTTCAAACAAGTCCTTTGTCATCACCGATAGGTGAAAATGATAATTTAATCCCAGCATTATCAGCATTATATGCTTATGTTGAAAGATCTTCTTCTTCATCATCGTCGTCAACAGCACAACATCGTGAGAATCAGTGTAATTTTAAAGGGGAATTAGCTTCTCCTAATAATAATAGTAATAATAACAATAATAATAATAATAATTGCGAATCAAGTAAAGATAATCTATTAATCAATGATTCTGATAAATTGAATGATATGAATTACAGTGTATCGTCATCGCCGTTGCTCAATCACTTATCCACTGCCACTATGAATTCCAATGCACCGAACTATCCTTGTAGTAACAATTCAACAATACCCTTGTCATCACAATCATCAACACAACAATCCACAAGCATGTCACAAATGTTACCCACATTACCCATACCTACTCATCCATTGATACAAGCAATTTATGATGCTGCCATGTCTAATTTAGCAGGACAATATTTCAATCCTCAAATTTCCACATGTTCAAATAATACATTGATTAATGATCCTTTAAATGCTTTTAAATACGCCGCAATGAATTTTAAAGAAGCCTTAAATTCATTTGAAGTGAATTCAACAAATTTACAATCAAATGCATTACAATCATCATCATCATCGTCATCGTCTACAACAACATCAACAACAACAACAACAATGCTACCATCCATAGGAATGAATGAACATAAAGGAGATTTAGCCAATAATTGGCTTACAATGTTACGTTCCTTAGTTGAAAATACCGAAAAATTGGATGGAATTAATTTTGGATGTTGTAAATCGATGAATTCTAATTCTGAATCACAAAACTCCAACATCACTCCAACGCCTGATAGATTTGAAGATCATCGACTAGATGATTTTTCGTTACATTCGCCAAATTCAAAATCATTGCCCAATTCTGGCATACATGAACAATCCATATTGAATTCACAGGCAAAAATCTTGCCATCTTTACAAAATGATTCAATGCATTTAGAGATGAGTCGCAGTAGATCAAATTATTCGTTTACTTCAACTTTACCATCATCGGCATCATCACCATCGTCATTATCCTTGTCAACGACAATATCACCAGTGATGAATACACCGAATATGTTGTCAGTTAATCGGTTAAACAATATCCCATCCTCATATCATTCGGCGATAAATCGTAGTTTAAGTTCATATACTCCTGTTAATAACAATAATAATAATAACAACAACAATATTAGTAGTGGTAATATTAATAATGCTAACAATAATAACATAATGACAACTATTACTAAAAAAGCTAAATGTCATTTCTGTGGTAAACCATTCGCGAATAAAGGTCAAGTACGACTGCATATCAGTAAGAATAAGTGTCCATGTTTAATTCAACAATCATGTCATGTAGCAGCATTAGCAGCTACATTTGGATCAAATACTAATAGCAATGCTAATGCAATGATAAATAACAATAATAATAATAATAATAATGTTAGAAAAATCCCGCAATCTATCGGAACAATGAAATCAAGTCCAGTCAGTACGTATTTATCTTCCATGGCATGTAAACGTAGTAACAACAATAATAGTAGTAATAATATCATCACTACTACTACCAATAATAATAGTAGCAATAACATTAATCAGACCTTTATCGACCCAATACATCACTGCACATCTAATTCTCCTGGACCCAATTCAAAAGAAGAGTTGATTAGTACTCCATCTGCATTGAGCTTGTTAAAAGAACGATTTCAAAATTTTGATGTGAATCAAAATTCAACTCATTATCCCAACTTCTCTTCATATTTACCTACAAATGTAAGTAATTCATCAGAGTTCAAGCTAACTCCTTCATCATCGTCAGCGATATCATCATCGTCAAGCAGTGTCTTCCCATATTCAAATAAAACTTCCACGCCTTCGATTCCAGCATCATCTTCCGTGTCTAATGCATCATGGTTAGGTGTATTAAATGGCATGGCAACAATTCCAAACTCTCAGTTAAATAAAGATGCTGAACTGATGAATACTTCAATTCCAGGGACAGCTTCTACTGCTGCTGCTGTAAATGCAGGTCATCTGGCTGCTATGGCATTACTTGCTCAAACCCTTGTTCAATTAAAAAATACAACTCAGTTAGCTCCAACATCGAATGCACCCCTATCTCAATTAATGGATAGTGTTACTAATATTAATAGTGGTAATACTAATACAACTTCACAAAAACCAAATTCTTCCGAAAATTTGCTTGAGTCAAATAACCCACTTTTACCACTTCTTGCTTCTCAGTTTCTTAATTTAAAACCTTCTAATCAAACAATACAACCTGATATGCCAATGAACTTTAATTTAGAAACTTTTTTCAATCAAATGAATATGGCCAAACAGTTGAACTCACTTAATTGGCCATTGAATAATCAAGGCATGAATATGGATGACAATCAGCCATGCCGACAATCTCAACAATCTCGACCACAACAACATTGATTTTTTTTATTCAGTGAAATTGGCACTACACACTATTTTCACTGGGTTTGTAAAACAATTCTTATCTTTAAACAATCTCATTATTACAAACTGTCACTTATTCGCATAAAATCAATCAGTAATATGATCAATAAATTATATGTGTGGCTTTATACTGAGTCAGAGCGCCATGATCAGTAATTTGGGGACAAAAAAATAACCCTGCAAACTACAATCAATTTACTTTGACAAAGTTTATATTATTCATACTGGAAACTAATCCAGAGCTTTTAAAATACTAACATAAAACACTACTTTTGATAAATGTTTATTTGCACAATCATCAGAACACTTTTTCTCTTTTTAATTATGTCTGTATAGAATTTACTTATTATTGTTTAGAGACTATTACTTCCCTGTAAATAATAACTATAACTGGCTATTGTTGTATGCGAACTAATCATAAAATGTTGACACTTCTATTACTTATTGTATGTAGTTAAACCACCACCTAATTCATTGATTTCGTAAATTGTAATCAGGATAAAATCATTGGTAATCCCTATTCATGAAAAAATAAAGTCTACTAACAATAAATTATTGTGATAATTAAATAAAAAATTATTGGTTGAATTCTTTTCTATTTATTTCACTAATTTTGATCCTTGATTTTTTTGTCTCTTCAACGCTTCTTCATTTGGTATTTGTCTGTGTTTTGTTGAGATCAATGAAACTAAAAGTCACGTCTAGTCGTTTCTTAACTCTTGCTTTCGTCTCAATGAGTTGATGACTCTGAACAGTAAGAGTAAATGTCCACTAATCATTCATTCGTTCATGCATTCTGTTATTTATTTATTAATTTTTAAATCACTTATTCAATCGGTCAGTAATTGTACTTTGTTAACAACGAACGATAGAAGTTTCTCTAATTCTCCTCTTCTGACTATCTTTATTTAAAAAACAAACTCACTGTTATTTCAATACTATCTTCTCCTATTTTTATTATTCACTGATGAATACTTTCATCTTTGTCGAATTTTCCATTGAAATAGCAATTAGAAAATCTATTTTAATGCGTTGTTGTACTTTTTCTTTTTTTTTTCCAACCTTTTTTCTCGTATATACATTTTCTGAGTATTTCTTCTTCTAACCTGCCTACTTAATTATTTATTTTGTTTTCAGGTTACGTTTAACTTTGATCACATAAATATATAAATATACACGAAAATGTATAGGAGCATCACCGGTTAAATTATTTGCTTTCATGTTATTGTCGTCGTTGCGGCCGTTTCTTCTCATATTTTTCTCTTATTGCTAATTTTTTTCTTTGTTTCTTTCTTTCTTTCGTATTTCCTCTGTATGTACAAATGTCATATTTATATATTTAAATTTTTTTTTTTGAAGTAAATGAAATTATATCTCAGTAGTTTCATTAATGCTTCTCCTTTTGTTATCGTTTATGTTGAAGTGATATTTCAACGAATGGGAAATAGAGAAGAAATATTATACCACTAATATTCTGTTCTTGACTTAATCATTCTTCATAAACAATTTTATAAGTGAGTTATTGAAAGCTACACATTTAGGAATACGATCAGTAGTTAGATAAATTTCTCATATCAGATCATCTGTTTTTGTTGCAAAGTGGCCTTTCGAATGTTTCATGGTGTAAATTGAAGACATGTATCAGAAATAATAGGGAATGAATTTCAAATTCTTTCATGAATGTTCTAAAAAAATCACACTGAGTCACTTTTACGAAGCGTACTGCCAGGAAGTTCAATACTGGGACGAAATAGACAACTCGTATTCCTAAGTTTTTAGTGGTTCATGATTTCGATGAAATCCAACAATCTCCACAATCATTTAATGATAAAATAAGTTAAACCAAATGATATGGTTCCAGTTATCATAGAATGTACATACAACATAATTATTATTACTTATCGACAGAGCGTATTAGGGAATAATAGAAAGTTGTCTAATCACAGAGGCTTCAGTTAGTTTTATGCAAGCGAACTTTACCAGTGGGGTTCTCTTACTTAGGATTGGACAAATTTATTAACCAACGGAGGGAAATTAATATCTTAATATCTATTGTTTAGCGGTGTTCGGTTTTCGTTTGAAGTTTGTTAGTAATTCATTTAACTTACAATAATGGACAAGTCTGATGTGGTGTTTAATGTAAAATCGTTGAAGTAGATCTGTATCTGGGTCTAGAATATTTTATTTCACGCTGGTTGGTACTGATCAAAAATTTTAGGGTAAGGAATGATTATTTAGAGATTTGAACCTGCCTATAACGTAATGTCAGCATACGTTACCACTGGGCTATGTTGCTTGGTAGAAGGGGATTAGAATCAGATATCAAGTGGAATTTGTACAAATAAAGCAAGCGTTTCTGAGGTCAGTAAAAACTATTGAAAGAATCATGCAAGATAATTTTGTCTCCATACTCGGATCCCGAGTTCATTAATGGAGAATCCATCATTCATAATTTTCCAGGTCGTTAAACTGATTAGACGTTAAAGGAAATGTGTTTAGTTCTTCTAATTACGACATAATATGAGAAGTTAATCAGATAAAAACGTCACCTTGAACACTTAATGTTACTGCAGGTCCCCAGTCCGGAGAATAGAGGACGGTTAGAAATAGGGTTGTCAACTACATTCTGTAGAAAAAAACTTGCAGTAAGAACGCTAAATAGAAAACTTCTTTTAGATCATTTAGACTCTCTCCCGAGAGTTGAAGGGTAATGGTAATGGCCGAATTTCTGCAGAAGTCATGACAATCAGAGCAGCAATTAATGAAGGTACATGGAGTGCCCACACAAACTCGTTTGAAGTAAAGATCAGTGTCAGACAAGGTTGCTCACTTTCAACCATCCTCTCTCTTCTCGTGGTTGACTGGATTTTGAGAACGTGAACAAGTGAGTGGAAGCAGCAGGTAGTACAGTGGAGAGCTCGGATATGGCCAGGCGATTTGGACTTAGCAGAGAGCTATGCTCTCTCTTCTATCCAATACACAACAACAAAGGTGGATGAAGATGACCGCTGTAGCAACAATCTCTGCAGCAATAAGTCTCAAAATACGTAGAAGAAGAAGCATGATGTCTAGGTTGGACACAACACTTGCCAAATAAATCACACTTGATGGGGAAGATGTTGACGATGTGGAACCGTTTGCATACCTGCGAAGCATGATCGATAAGCAGATGTGAAGCATGAGTTAACAAAGGAAGAATAGCATTTTTACGGTTGATTAACATCTTAAACTCATATCTGATAACGTCTCAAGCCACAGAGTCGCACCGTCTCTAGGACTACAGCCAGGAAGTAGTGAAGGATTATCAGGTCCTATATAACCTTCTTTTACAAAAGAGCACCATATCATACCGTGACCACCTCTCCAATTTTTCAAGCCACTCGAAGCGTTGGCACATGCTCATTGTGGGATTCATTGACAGAACATTTGTAGTAACTGTCCAAATCACCCAAGCTGGTGTTTCAGTATAATGACATTAACTGAATTATTGTCATCGTGCCCAAACACACGTCTCCAAACCTCCTCATCACTAACATGATGTTGCCACTTAACCCTTAACAGAAAATGATGTTCTAACACAGAGTTGCTTAATATTCTCGATTTTGAGAGGCTAAGTTTCATAAGCATAGAGTGAAACCGCTTTCACTGATGGTTTATTGCCATATCAGGAAGATGAGGAGAATGGTAACTTCAGTGGCTGATTTATGGATTATCATTGTATAAATATAAATGTACTTTTTCATTTTATTGTGTAATAAGGCCAAGTATTTTTGGTATATAAACTACATCTGCTTGAAATATAGCAAATTTTGTAGAGGTTTTGTGCTGACTTATGGAGTAACAGGCAGGGTGGAAAGAAATAAGCTATCAGAATGTGGATTAATAAGAATTTAGAGTTGATTCACGGTTTCTGGTGCTAAGGTGTAATTTTCATTGGTATTTTATATTTGTCACGTGATACTGGCCAACAGTTACGGACACAACAGTTGTGGATCAGACCATTTACAGCTAAACTAACATCATGAATGGACCATAGATAGTCCAGATTAGCACAAGCTATTCTAGCTCCCACTACACGTGAATTGATCTCATCATTCATGCCACCACCAGCACTTATGTAGCCACCTATTTACAAGAACTTTTCGACCAGTTCCATATGCTCACTACCATAAGTGGATTCAGGCGCAGGTTCCTACCGTCCCCATGAAAGTACGTAACGCTTGGAAGTTGAAAAGCACATGCCATACCCACAGACACTGATTGCCTACTGATTAAATGCAGATTGAATGACTTGGGCATTAACGTATTATAAGACAATATCAGTCGCATGCTTAAGGTTAAATAGTCGTTCTCTAGGTACCAGATTTGTACCAACATTATCTACATGTACTAGAGCTATTTCCAGAGCGAAATTGAAGATAAATAATGAGATTGAGCAGCCCTGCCTAATACTACTCCTTGCAAGCCGTAATTCTACCTGGGTTGTTCGTGAATAATGCCTTCAAGATTAGAATAAACTTCCCAGGCACACCCTTCTTCAACAGTCACTCGCAGAGAACAGTCTTATCCGACAATCAAAGGCCGCCGTGATGTTAAGAAACAATCATTTATGGCTTGCACTAAGTTTGGTAATGTCCTAACATTTGACAGAGGGTAAAGATATGATCAGCACATCCTCGACTAAACCAAAAATCAGCCTTCTCCTCAAGTCAATCTTTCTCGGGTTTTGAACAATCTTCGAAGTAGGACGGAGGTCATTAGTCGTGATATTATCGGTAGTTAGTTGTTGCGTAGGTAGTGTAAATCCTGCTTAAAGCTACAAACTACCATCAACCGATCCTATAATGTTTGAACACTCTCGAATTACCGCACGCTTGTAAAAAAACTCGGCCAATTCCATAACTAGGAATTCGCTACCATCCGTACAAGGAGCCGAGGATTAATCATCAGAACTTGGTTATTTGTTGGGTCTCAGGAGTTGGAGTTCCCTGCGGCATTCTGCCTTGTGAGGTAGATTGTTCGCTACCAGTCACGAGAGAAAGTAGCTCAGCAGTTCTTCCAGACTGTTCCTCAGAAAACTCTGTCCATCTGAACTCGCTGCCAGTTGCCCGTATGAGTTGTAAGAAAGTCAGATGTAGCTTTACTCCCAACTTGCTTACGTGCTCCGTCCACCAGGCCTATCGGTCCTTACCCAGACTTCGTACAATTTCGTTGTGTAATAATAGACATTTATTGTCAAACTTGCAGTAATCCTGAATAGACTGAAATATTTCACCGAATTGTAAGGAGTCTGCAGAAATCCATTGATTGTAATCGGAACGTTTTTACAAAGTCGCAAGTGACATTTCTCACTGTCTTCATGCAGCCATAAAATAGCATCTAGTGTTCATAAATACTTTTAGGTAGATCGACTTGAACCTGGATTCATTTGGTATTTAACTGCAAAAAAAGCTGCAGCCAGTATACTTACATCAATCCGTTTAGGGCGAAAGTTGGCCAGTGAAGCATAAGATCAGGCTGGCGCAATCAAGGGCATGATCTAAGTCCAGATTAGTTCATGTCACCATACCACATTAGCACAGAGACGCAAATGTCAAATCAAATCCCATAGTGATAGAGATAGTAGAGGTATTGATGGTAATGAAGAAGACTAGGGTTTGAAATATTATTCAAGAAGTATAATTCAATGTTGAAAAGACAAAGGTAGAGGTGCTGACGAATCCAGAAGATTAGGATTTGAGAGAGCACAACGAATGGATGCACTCGCGCCATTGCAAACTATTTTGAGCCATACCGTTCAAGGTCTCTAACCAATGGTGACTTTCGTCTCGCTGACCCGAACCAGGTAGTCTACATCTACCAACATGACTCAGTCCACTCGTCCGTGACCTCATGGATTTCTACCATGTTTTGGTCTGGCCGCCCCTAGCTTTCTTCCAACCTACTCCTACACCACAAAACAGCTCGTCGAGGCAGTCAGTGGTTAGGCATTCGTAACACATATGCCAACCACCTCAACTGATGAAGTTTCACTACTTCATCTGCTGATCTGTCATCCTTACCTAGTACTCGTTTCCTAACGACAGCATTGCTTACTCGGTTGTCCCTCAGCACATAATTGGGTATTAATGAGGACTTAGTCAGTCAGAGTAATCGCAGCTCTAGCGCTTAGCATAACACCAGCGAAACCAGACAGAAATGCCACAGGGTCTCTTGATAAACGCACATGAAACAAGTTTTTCGAAGCGACAGATAGAGAGCGAATGCATAGTACATCACTAGAGTTATTAATACGGGTTTTGGATAGACAGAAGACATTGGTGTTTCAACTTTTAAAGACACTGACAATCCAATCTATTATCTGATCTGGGTTAGTGTATGAACGTT